GAGCTGAGCCGAAGGCAGACACTTAACCCACTGAGCCGCCCAGGTGCCCCGCGGAAGGAATTTGAAGTGGAATTAGGGCCAAGGTAGACCAGGAGAAAAGGGACAGGTTTTATTTTTACATTGTTCTGGACTTTAAAGTCCGTATCTCTGGGGATAAGGTTGTCTTTTTACATCTTAGTACAGGGAGGGTACCTTTGAAATGGGAGATTTATTTCCGGCTTTCAGGGGGACAGAGGAGGGTCTGAGTGTCCTTGCATTGACTGTTTCTTAAGTAACTTTTATTCTAAAGTAACCAACAGACCTGGCCGCCTAGCTGGCTCAATCCATAGTGTGTGTGACTCTTGAGATCTTGGGGTTGTGAGTTCAAGCCCCACGATGGGTGTAGAGACTACTTGAAAAAATAAATAAATAAATAAACCTAAAAAAATAAGGGCTCCTGGGTGGGTCAGTCGATGAAGTGTCTGCCTTGAGCTCAAGTCATGATCCCGGGATCCAGGGATCAAGCCCCCATGTGGGGGCTCCCTGCTCAGCAGGGAGTCTGCTTCTCCCTCTGCCCACCACCCCCCGCTTATGTTCTCGCTCTCTCTGTCAAATAGATAGATAAAATCTAAAAAAAAAACCAAACCTTTAAAAATAAATAAATAAAATAATCAATATACCAAAGTGGCACATTTTGGGGTGGCCTGCCCTTGGCCCCTAAAATTTGGTAGACACATTTATTGCAAAATGATTATGGGGTGGCATATTCGGATCCTTGTGCACTAAAACTGTAGTAGATGACTGACGTCAGTCTTCTGTGACATCTCAAGTGACCTCAGGGAGGAATCTGGAACAGCAAGAACTGGAAAACCAGTTAAGCAGAGGCATGCAAGCAATATTTTTAACATAACAACATTGCCTGGAAAACGTACAATTTCATGAAGTACAGTTATTTTTTAAGCATAAAGGAAAAGTATTTTCTCTCTCTCTCTCTCTGTTTTTTAAGTAAACTCTCCACCTAGCATGGGGCTGGAACTCACAACCCAGAGATCCAGAGTCACATCCTTCACCGACTGAGCCAGCCAGGTGCCCGTTTTCTTTCTTTTTTTTTTTTGTATTTGTATTTGTTAATATACCCAGGAAACAAGTTGTTCAAAAGAGGTAGGATTAGGGCGCCTGGGTGGCTCAGTTGGTTAAGTGACTGCCTTCGGCTCAGGTCATGATCCTGGAGTCCCTGGATCGAGTCCCGCATCGGACTCCCTGCTCGGCAGGGAGTCTGCGTCTCCCTCTGACCCTCCTCCCTCTCATGCTCTCTGTCTCTCATTCTCTCTGTCTCAAATAAATAAATAAAATCTTTAAAAAAAATTTTAAAAATTAAAAAAATGGAGTCAGGAATCCAGAAGGGGGAGGGCTTGTGCTGTACTAAAGAGCACCCCCCATCACCCCTCAATCAGAGGCTACTGAGAGTTTGATACCTTCCCACATTCAGGTTTGCACACACACCAGTGTTAATGGCCACGTGGGCTCCCCTAGGATTGCTCCCTGCAACAGCAGAGAAAATCTGGGGTGAAGCATGAGATGAAAAGCATCTTTAGAACTAATTTTTTATTTGTTTTTATGAATAATCTCAGATTACACACAGCTGAAGTAAATAGCAAAGAACTAGAAGGTTGGTAGGGGAAGAAAAATCCAGAATGATGTGTGGAGTGTAAGAGAAGGGAATATAAAAACAGAAACAAAAACAAAACAAAACAAAACAAAAAACAGGAAAAGGGGGCCCCTGGCTGGCTCAGTCAGTGGAGCATCTGACTCTTGATCTTGGGGTTTTGAGTTTGAGTCCCATGCTGAGTGTACAGAGATTACTTAAAAATAAAATCTTTTTTTTTTTTTAAAGATTTTATTTATTTCTTTGAGAGAGAGAGAGTGAGAGAGAGAGCGCAAGAAGGGGGAGGGTCAGAGAAAGAAGCAGACTCCCTGCTGAGCAGGGAGCCCGATGCGGGACTCGATCCCGGGACTCCAGGATCATGACCTGAGCCGAAGGCAGTCGCTTAACCAACTGAGCCACCCAGGCGCCCTTAAAAATAAAATCTTAAAAAAAAAAAACCTAGCAGTGTTGGGGAGGGGGCTAAGGAGTGCCTATTACCTTGAAAAGAATAAAAATTATAATGACAGCTGAATTCCCAATAAAAAGATTGGGCCACAGAGAAAGTATGGAATGATGTCTTCAAAGTACAAAGGAGAAAGTACCAATCCAGAATTCTATACCCAGTAAAAATATCCTTAAAAATAAAAATGAAATGGACCATTTTGAGGCAAAAATTTGAGAGAATTTATCACCAGCTGCCCTACATTAAGGAAAAAAGAAAAAACATAACGCAGATGGAAGCAGAGATGCAGAAAGGACCAAAGACACAAAGAGAAGAATAAATATCGAGGGAAATTTAAATTAATGTTGGCTGTATAAAACAGCAAGGATAGCATCATATAAGATTTAAAATGTATACTGTGGGGCGCCTGGGTGGCTCAGTTGGTTACGCGTCTGCCTTCGGCTCTGGTCATGGTCCCAGGGTCCTGGGATCGAGCCCCACATCGGGCTCCCTGCTCGATGGGAAGCCTGCTTCTCCCTCTCCCTCTCCCACTCCCCCAGCTTGTGTTCCTTCTCTTGCTTTGTCTCTTTCTGTCAAATAAACAAAATCTTTAAAAAAAAAATGTATACTGTTACAAAACACATAACACCAGTAGGTCATAAATTGGGAGGAAGCAAGTGAATTTAAGTTCTAAGGCCTTTACATTATCTTTGATGTAATAAAACTATACTTTTATACTAGATGTTTATGTCAAGAATGTATTTTCAGGGTCACCTGGCTGGCTCAGTCAGTGGGGCATTTGACTCTTGATCTTGGGGTTGTGAGTTCGAGCCTTGAGTGTTGGTTGTAGAGACTACTTAAAAATAAAATCCTAAAAAAAAAGAATATATTTTGAGATCTCTAGGGTAACTGAAAAAAATTTTGTAAGGTTGAACAGTTTAGAGAGGGATTATAAAATATTCCAAGATTTGTCAAGAAAGTAGAAAAAGGAACACTGGACAATAAGGAGAAAATATAAATTAAATTGTAAGATGGCAGATTTAAATTCAATTATATCAGTAATTAAATATAAATGGATTGACTTCAATTCAAAGACAAAGTTTTTCAGATGGGATTTTAAAAATTCAGTTATTAAAAAAAATAAAAATAAAAATTCAGTTCTAGTGACCATAGAGATTATAGAAATGTGCCTTAAGTATAATGATACCAAAGAGTGGGAAGCAGAAGCCTTAAGATAAATGATAACACAAAAACACTAACTTCAAAAAAACCCCCAAACTAGTGTATTTGTACACCCGTTTTTTTTCTTAAGATTTTTTTTTTTTTAAGTTTTATTTATGAAAGAGAGAGAGGACAAGCAGGGGGAGAGACAGAGGGAAAGGGAGAAGCAGACTCCCTCCTGAGCTGGGAGCCCAACGTGGGGCTCATTCCAGGACCTGGAGGTCATGACCAGAGCCGAAGGCAGACACGCTTAACCATCTGAGCCCCCCAGGCGCCACTCTTAAGATTTTTTTTTTAGTGCCTTCGGCTCAGGTCATGATCCCAGGGTCCTGGGATCGAGCCCCGCATCGGGCTCCCTGCTCCGCGGGAAGCCTGCTTCTCCCTCTCCCACTCCCCCTGCTTGTGTTCCCTCTCTTGCTATGTCTCTCTGTGTCAAATAAATAAAATCTTTAAAAAAAAAAAAAAGTGTGCAAGGTTTCATGTCTGTTATATATATTTTATCACAACAAAAATTGATTGTAGTATAGCTGGGGGGTGGAGGGAGAGAGATGAAGAGACAGAGTGCAGAGGATTTTTAGAGCAGTGAAAATACTCTGTTTGATTTTACAGTGATAGATATATGTCATTATACATTTGTCCAAATCCGTAGGATATACACCACCGAGAGTGAACCCAAAGGTAAACTATGGACTTTGGCTGATTACTGTATGTAGGTTCGTCTCTGGTTTAAAAAAAAAAAAAAAAAAAAGGATTCTGGTGAGTAATGTTGATAAGGAGGGAGACTATGCATGTTTGGGGCGGGAGAGATATGGGAAATCTCTATTCCGCCTCAGTTTTATTGTAAACCTAACACTGCTTTACAAATAATAATAATAAAGTTTTTTTAAATTTTTTTTTAAAGATTTTTATTTGCTTATTTGACAGAGAGAGAGACAGCGAGAGAGGGAACACAAGCAGGGGGAGTGGAAGAGGGAGAAGCAGGCTTCCCGCGGAGCAGGGAGCCCGATGCGGGGCTCGATCCCAGGACCCTGGGATCATGACCCGAGCCGAAGGCAGACGCTTAACGGCTGAGCCACCCAGGCGCCCAATAAAGTATTTAAAAAAAAAAAAAAAAAAAAAAACAAGTTTAGGGGGTACCCAGCTGGCTTAGTCAGTGGAACGAACACATAGGACTCTTGATCTCTCTTGATCTCGGGGGTTTGTGAATTCGAGCCCCACGTTGGGCGTAGAGACTTTTTAAAAATGAATTTAGGTATATATTAGTATTAGACAATGAAAGCTTTAGGGTAGAATGGCATGACTAGAAATGAGACATTTCATACAAATTTAACGGATTTAATTGACTTTTGGCGGTTCTCTGCCCTTCTTTCCTCGAGTCAAAGGAACTGGCTGGGCTGGCCTCAGTTTTGGGGGGAGGGGCGGAGGGCGGGACGGGGTGGGGGCGGGGAGCACCCGCACCGGGCCGGGGGTGGGAGTGGAGGGGAGGTGACGGGGGGGGTGGGGTGGTGGCGAAGTTGGGGGCGGGATGTAAATCAGGTGCTGCCGGGGGCAAACCGTAGGAAATTCTCCAATTGAGGTTAAAGGCTTTATTCCGCGGAAGCGCTTCGCAGGCAACCTAAGATCAGGTGAATCTCCAGATCCAGGTGTGTTTTTTTTGTTTTTTTTTTAAAGATTTTATTTATTTGACAGAGAGAGACACAGCGAGAGAGGGAACACAAGCAGGGGGAGTGGGAGAGGGAGAAGCAGACTCCCCAGGGAGCAGGGAGCCCGATGCGGGGCTCGATCCCAGGACCCTGAGACCACGACCTGAGCCGAAGGCAGACGCTTAACGACTGAGCCACCCAGGCGCCCCTGGATCCAGGTGTTTTGACAGCGGCGGCGGGAGCTGGGTCGGGGCCCTCCCCGGCTGAATTTTAGGCAGCTGTTTTCTTTCACTGCAAGAATTTGGGACTGGAGGTCGTTCCTGTTCCTCGCCAGAGGGTCGCTGGTTCAATCCCAGTAACGATCAGAGTAGTATTTTCTGAGGACTGTTCGTGCAAACCTTGCAGGTTATCCGCCAGTCAGCGCTCACGGGGTGGGGAAGGTTGCAAAAGGAAAAGAGGGAGGGGGGCCTAAGAGGGAACCTGGGGACCCCTCCACCCGACTGTGTCCTTTTCCAGCGCAGAGAAGTCTTCCTTTCGCGGGCAAGTGGTTCTCGCTTCCTGGCGCCCCCAAGGAGCAGAAGTGGCTGGGGAGAAAGTTATGCGGGCCCCTGGGTGCAGGGGGTGGGGGGTGGGGGTCCCGGGATTCCCTTCCTGCTGGCTCCTCCTCCCCCCGCCCCCACCCAATCCCTTAAACCATCCATTTTGAGGGGGTCCGGAAGCAGATACAAAGGGCCCGGGCAAGACGAGTCTCTGTCGTCTATCCTTCCTGGGGGGTCGTTGTTTTGTTTCTTTACTTACTATTTTTACAGTCCCATCCCTCTCGTCCGCAGCTCTGCAACCCTCTCTCTAGTACAGGGAAACGAGCCCTTTGGGCTGCGCCACCCACAGACGCGTCCAGAAGCAGGTGCTGCGGAGATGGTGAGTGTCCCGGGTTGTCGCAGAGTCCACACTGCGGGCGGGACCGGGTCGGGTTCCAGGGAGTCGGGAGCAGCTGTCGGTCCGCGGAAGCCTGATTCTCTCCGCCCTGGAGGGGTGGGGAGGCCGAGAGGGGCCCACGTGGTGAGCCCTAAATGCGCCCTTCACCTTGCCCCAGGGAGCATTCCCTGGCCTGGGCCGGGGGACACCCGCGTGCGGCGGCGGGGCTGGAGGGGCTGCTGTTTGGATCCATGCTCGTATTGGAGTCCGTTGTGATTAGGGCGAGCTGAAAAATTCTGGGCCCAGGCAGATCGAGAGGATGGCCTTTGGGGTTCTCTTCTGGAGAAAGGGTTGCTGGGTTTGAGTTGCGTCCGATGGGCACATTCTTTTTTTTTTTTTTAAGATTTTATTTATTTATTTGAGAGAGAGAGAGAGAGAGAGAACACATGAGAGGGGGGAGGGTCAGAGGGAGAAGCAGACTCCCCGCCGAGCAGGGAGCCCGATGCAGGACTCGATCCTGCGACTCCAGGATCATGACCTGAGCCGAAGGCAGTCGCTTAACCAACTGAGCCACCCAGGCGCCCCTCGATGGGCACATTCTTCCTTTTTTTTGGGAACTGAGATTTTGGTAGAGGGCATTTATGAAAGGCCAAATTGAAAGGAGTTCCAGGGGAGTTGTCAGGATCAAACCCCGTGGTCTGAGCAAAGTAGCCTGTTTGTCGTTCATCGACTCCAGGAAGGTCTGGTTCAGGGGAAACTCAAGACACCAGTGGGGATGTGTCATCTGCCAGATGTGCGTGCTTTCCTTCTACCTGCTTACCTGAGCCCACCCAGAATGATGCATTCTCTCTCTCTCTTTTTTTTTTTTTTTTTTTGCTTTCCCCGCTGTCCCAAACTAATGTGTCTGAGATACCAGGGGCTCCCCAGGAGCCCCAGTTGTATTGGCTTGTCGCAAGGAGAGACGTGGATCCCACCAGAGAGGAACCTTGCAAATGAAGGGATGGAGTCATTCCTTATAGGATCATGGGAGGTGGGGGAGGGAGAGGGTGAATTCAGGGTAAATGTAAATGCATCCCAGCTTAGATTGGCTCAAGCCGAACTGCGTGCAAAGGAATTATCTGGTCCGGATGGTCCCTTGGAAACTACAAGGTCAGATAGAGGTGGAATGTGGTGTCCCACACCCCTTATCTGAAGCTCTGCCCGGAGTTGCAAATCGAGGCTGCCTCTCAGTCCATGTGACTCAAGATCCCCCAGGCAAGAGTGGGATGTTCTTTTCCTACCAATACGATGTCACAGCCGCATTGTTGAGGGCTATGATTTTTAGGGAACAAAGTTTATCAGTGAGTTAGAAAACAGTTAAGTAAGGCGGGGGGAGGAAAGGAGTCCTTTTGACTTTGCTGCTGGTTTCCTCGGGGTCTGATCTCTACGTGATGGCAGGGCAGGTTTTCGTCCTTGCATTCACGATGACAGGGTTGCCTATAATCTCCAGTTTGCCCCAGCACTTAATAACTTCATCACATTGAGTGTCACATTTGTTTGTTTGATGAAAACCTAAGTTCACGTGAACCCCGGAGTAGTGAATGCAAGGGGATCTTGGGGACACCACATAAATGTTTGAAATTTTTGAAACCGAAGGAGTATGGATGCCTATTTCTTTTTTTTTTTTTTTAAGATTTTTTATTTATTTATTCATGAGAGACAGAGAGAGAGAGAGAGAGAGAGAGAGAGAAGCAGGCTCCCAAGGAGCAGGGAGCCCGATGCGGGGCTCGATCCCAGGACCCTGGGATCATGACCTGAGCTGAAGGCAGATGCTTAACCATCTGAGCCACCCAGGCGCCCCATGGATGCCTATTTCTTTTCTTTTCTTTTTTTTAAATTTTTTTTTCTTAAGATTTTATTTATTTGCGAGAGAGACAATGAGAGACCGAGAGCATGAGAGGGAGGAGGGTCAGAGGGAGAAGCAGGCTCCCCGCCGAGCAGGGAGCCCGATGTGGGACTCGATCCCGGGACTCCAGGATCATGACCTGAGCCGAAGGCAGTCGCTTAACCAACTGAGCCACCCAGGCGCCCCTATTTCTTAAGAAACGGAGTCTGTATATATATTTTTAAAGATTTTATTTCTTTATTTGTGAGAGAGATTGAGAGTGAGCGAGCACAAGCAGGGGGAGTGGCAGGCAGAGGGAGAAGCAGGCTCCGGTCCTGGGATCAGGAGCTGAGCCCAAGGCTGACGCTTAACCGACTGAGCCCCCAGGCATCCCAGAATCAGTATATTTAAGAAGATGTGGGAATTCCAGTTCCAACTGGAAGAACACTCTAACATCTGGCACGTTGTTTGCACCCCTAGAGAATTTTGAAATGTGAAAGCCATTAATTAAATCTCTCCAGTAGAAGGAATTCTTACTTTAGCTGGAAAAGATGACTTCAAGGTAAAAAAAAAAAAAAAAAAAAGCCAACCTCATCAGTTGTGTTGTAAATTATTTAATTGTAGACTGTATTTCGCTTAATAACATATTTCTGGACTATGCAACAGATCAGTGTGTTTAAAAAATTGCAGGTTGGTTAGAGTAGACCTTGAAGGCTTCCTCTATCTGCCCTGGTTTGCTGTGTTCGAGACTCCTGGCCACCCAGAAGCAACCACTTTTGTCGATCCTTGCATATCTTTTCAGGATTCCTTATTTTTCCTTCAATTCATGAAAATGAGCTCTTTGTGCACTCTTCAGCAGCTAACGTTACAGATTTAAAAAGACGCAAGTGACCAAATGCAGTATTCGGGTCTTCGGGGACAGACAGAGGGTATTTGATTCTATAAAAACGTTGCTGCTGGAGCGCCTGGGGGGCTCAGTCGTTAAGCGTCTGCCTTGGGCTCAGGTCATGGTCCCAGGGTCCTGGGATCGAGCCCCGCGGGCTCCCTGCTCGGCAGGGAGTCTGCTTCTCCCTCTGACCCTCCCCCCTCTCATGTGCTCTCTGTCTCTCTCATTCTCTCTGTCTCAAATAAATAAATAAAATCTTGGGCGCCTGGGTGGCTCAGATGGTTAAGCGTCTGCCTTCAGCTCAGGTCATGATCCCAGGGTCCTGGGATCGAGCCCCACATAGGGCTCCTGGCTCAGCGAGGAGCCTGCTTCTTCCTCTCCCTCTGCCTCTCTCCCTGCTCATGCTTTCTCTCTCTCTCTCTCTCTCTCTGTATCTCTGTGTCTCAAATGAATGAATGAATAAATAAATAAATAAATAAATAATAAATAAATAAATAAAATCTTAAAAAAAAAAAAAGATTTTAAGTAATCTCTACACCCAAGGTGGGGCTCAGACCCACAACCCAGAGGTCAAGAGTCGCACGCTCCACTGGACCGAGCCACCCAGGCGCCCTGAAGCTATATTTAATATATAAAAACACATACCAATCCTTGATATCACCTGACTTTGTTTATATGTCTATTTACTATATATATATTTTTAGTTTCTATGCCAAAATGTTTCAAATTCTGGAAAAAAAATTTTCAAAATACAAAATGTAAAAAATGTAATTTAAAACAAACATCTAAATATTAAAAGTCACTAGAAATCAGGGCTTCCAGGATACCAGATATGGTGCTTTACAAAAAAGCGAAAGAGAAAATAACTCACAATATCTCTAACACCTGTCCAGAGTTTGAATTCCAGCAGTTTCTACCAAAAATATCTTTCAGGGTTAGATCTCTTTTTTTTTTTTTTTTTAAGATTTATTTATTTAAGAGAGCGAGAATGAGAGAGAGAGAGAGTACATGAGAGGGGGGAGGGTTAGAGGGAGAAGCAGGCTCCTCGCCGAGCAGGGAGCCCGATGCGGGACTCAATCCAGGGACTCCAGGATCATGACCTGAGCCGAAAGCAGTCGCTCAACCAACTGAGCCACCCAGGCGTCCCAGATCTCTTTTTTTTTAAATAAAGATTTTATTTATTTATTTTAGAGAAAGAGCATGAACGGGGGAGGGGACAGAGGAAGAGGAAGGGGGAGAGAACCTCAAGCTGACTCCAGGCTCAGCTTGGCGCCCAACGCAGGGCTCAGACTCAAGACCCTGACTGAGATCATGACCTGAGCCGAAATCAAGAGTTGGGTGCTCAGCAGAGCCACCCAGGCGCTCCTCTTTTTTATTTTTTACGCTTTATTTATTTAAGTCATCTCTACAACCAACATGGGGCTTGAACTCACCACCCCAAGATCTAGAATCGCACGTTCCCTCGTGTGACCGAAAGAGACACTGAAGGTGTGATTAGATTCCCGTGGACATTTTTGCACACTTCTCAGGTCTGTCTCCTAAACATCACCTCTGTGTGAATAGAGTGCCTGCATGCCCTCTTGTGGCCGAGGCTGAAATCCATCAGAGGCTTCAGGTGCCAAGAGAGCTTTGTTCCCACTTCCCAAAGTAGTGGGCAGGTAATGAGCAAAATGAGGCATTCATTGCTTCCAAGTTTTTAGCTGGAACTCTGTAGGGTTTTCCGTCATCAAGAAGGACTATTCAGGGCGCCTGGGTGGCTCAGTCGGTTAAGCATCAGCCTTCAGCTCAGATCATGATCCTGGAGTCCCGGGATCGAGTCCCGCATCGGGCTCCCTGCTCGGCGGGGAGTCTGCTTCTCCCTCTCCCACTCCCCCTGCTTGTGTTCCTGTTCTCGCGTGCGCGCTCTCTCTCTCTGTCAAAAAAAAACTTAAAAAAAAAATAATCGCAGGCTCTTCTGACTGAGAACCAGGCACCCCAACTCTTTTAGTTTTAGATTTGAATCTTCTCTGACTAAAAGCCTTGCTTCCTTCTTTTTTTTTTTTTTTTAAGATTTTATTTATTTATTTGACAGAGACACAGCAAGAGAGGGAACACAAGCAGGGGGAGTGGGAGAGAGAGAATCAGGCTTCCCGCTGAGCAGGGAGCCCGATGCGGGACTCGATCCCAGGACTCCGGGATCATGACCTGAGCCGAAGGCAGTCGCTCAACCAACTGAGCCACCCAGGCGCCTGGTTCACCTGCAGTTTGATACACCCTTGGCATCATTTAGTTGAGCTCCCTATTTGGGGGATTGTTTTCTTATTGAATGTGCGAACATTACCCGGTTCCTGATGAAAATCTATATAACAGGGTTTTATTTAGACAAGCCTTACTTCTGTCCCTTCTTCTCCACCCTGTTCCTTTACTGATAAGTCTGTGGTTTGTGATACATTTCCATGCCTTTTTTTCCTTTCACTTAAAATATAAAATACGTAAGCTGGAGGGCACATGATATCACTTTATATCCATATATAAGAGATCTCACTCATTCTTTTTTTTTTTTTTTAAGATTTTTTGACAGAAAGACAGCAAGAGAGGGAACACAAGCAGGGGGAGCGGGAGAGAGAGAAGGAGGCTTCCCGCTGAGCAGGGAGCCCGATGCGGGGCTCGATCCCAGGACCCTGGGACCATGACCTGAGCCGAAGGCAGACGCTTAACAACTGAGCCACCCAGGCGCCCCTGCATCATACTCTTTTAAGCAAGCCTCATTATTGAATATCTAGGGGTGGTCTCCAATCGTTTGCTGTTATAAATAACCTTCAATAAATAATTATGTGCACATTATCATTTGGCTTTGGGGCCAGGGTAGTCTTGGAGTCATCCCACAAAGACAAATGCTGGGTCAAGGGATGAATGCCAATACAGTTTTAGTAAATTGTGTCTGATCCACTTCAGATTGGAGGTGGGACAGTTTTATGTAAGACTTCGGAAGGCCTCGCCTTGGTATTCCTTGACTTATAGACAGTTTACCCCAGTCTCTATGTCTGCCATCCTGTGACAATTTTTCCCTCCATGTGCTATATACTGATTTCTACTTTTTTTTTTAAGACTTTTTTATTTGAGAGAGGGACAGAGAGCAGAAGCAGGGGGAACAACAGGTAGAGGGAGAAGCAGGCTCGCCACTGAGCAAAGAGCCCGATGCGGGGCTCGATTCCAGGACCCTGGGATCATGACCTGAGTGGCCCCGTCATGGTACCTCTTCCATATCTTCAAATGCCTTATTTCCAAATTGGGTCCCATTCAGAGGTCCTGGGGGTTAGGATGTCGGCGTATCTTCGGGAGGGGATGCAATTCAACTCATAACAGTGCCCCACATGGGTGTGTTGTTTCAGGACTCCGTGACCTTCACAGACGTGGCCGTGAATTTCACCAGGGAGGAGTGGGCCCTGCTGGACTCTGCACAGAGAATTCTCTACAGAGACGTGATGTTGGAAAACTGCAGGAACCTGGCTTCTGTGGGTGAGTGTCCTACCCTCCCACACATATTCGCAGCCGGGACGAATGGGAGTCAGACCCCCTCCTGGGTTCCCAGAGCTGTGCTGAGAAATGGGACGGGGGAATTGCTGAATAACCAAGATGGGGCCACTGTCCCCAAGGGGTGGACATAGGATTCACCCCATGAAACAGGAAATCTGTCCGTTGCATTACATTTTTTTTTTTTAAGATTTTATTTATTTATTTGACAGACAGAGACACAGCGAGAGAGGGAACACAAGCAGGGGGAGAGGGAGAGGGAGAAGCAGGCTCCCCGCAGAGCAGGGAGCCCGATGCGGGACTCGATCCCAGGACCCTGGGATCATGACCTGAGCCGAAGGCAGACGCTTAACGACTGAGCCACCCAGGCGCCCCTGTTTTGTTTTTTTTAAGATTTTATTTATTTATTTGACAGAGACATAGCGGAGAGGGAACACAAGCAGGGGGAGTGGGAGAGGGAGAAGCAAGCTCTCCGCTGAGCGGGGAGCCCAATGCGGGACTCGATCCTAGGACCCTGGGATCATGACCTGGGCCGAAGGCAGACGCTTAACGACTGAGCCACCCAGGCGCCCCCGTTGCATTACATTTTTATTCTCTTCATGATTAACAGCCCTCGGGAGATGCTTAGGTGGGTGAACACGGAGCACAGAGTTTCAGTGCCTTCATGAGGAAAACGGAGGGACCCCTTTGTTGCTCCATACTCACACTTGCTTAGCTCCGGAACCCCTGCAGACCAAAGCATGTGCCCCTGTTCCATGGAAAGTGCTGGCACCGCTCCCTTGGCCATGCACTGTCCCATTCCCCGGTGACCGGGATCTCAACTGGGCAAACCTAGTCCGGTCTGCCATTTGGAGCAAGAAGCGGGTCTGGGAATGGTGCAGGGGAAATTTACCTTGTGCACCTGCCTGCCAGGCAGACGTGAATCCTTACGAGGAAGGATTTAACAATGTGGCGGTGTTGATAAGAATCCATTTCATCCGTGTGCAAAACAGCTGCAGCTCCTCAAAGAGTTAAACACAGAATTACCAGATGACCCAGCAATTCCACTCCTTAGTATCTACCCACGGGAGTTGAAAACAGATGTTCCAACACATACACGTGGAGGTGTGTTCATAGCAGTAGTGAAAACAAACCAGTTGTCCATTGACAGGTGAATGGACAAACAAAATATAGTCTATCCACACAGTGGAATACTACTCAGCCATAAAAAGGAGTGAAGCATTTGCAGTATGGGGACTCCTGGGTGGCTCAGTCCATTAAGCGTCTGCCTTCGGCTCAGGTCATGATCTCAGGGTCCTGGGATCGAGCCCCACGTGGGGCTCTCTGCTCAGTGGGGAGCCTCCCTCTCCCCCTGCTTGTACTCTCTCTCTGTCAAATAAAGAAAATCTTTTTTTTTTTTAAAGATTTTATTTATTTATTTGAGAGAGAGAGAATGAGAGACAGCACGAGAGGGAAGAGGGTCAGAGTGAGAAGCAGACTCCCTGCCGAGCAGGGAGCCCGACGTGGGACTCGATCCCGGGACTCCAGGATCATGACCTGAGCCGAAGGCAGTCGCTCAACCAACTGAGCCACCCAGGCGCCCAAATAAATAAAATCTTTTTTTTTTTTTTAAAGATTTTATTTATTTATTTGAGAGAGAGAGAGAGCATGAGAGGGGGAGGGTCAGAGGGAGAAGCAGACTCCCCGCCGAGCAGGGAGCCCGACGCGGGACTCGATCCCGGGACTCCAGGATCATGACCTGAGCCAAAGGCAGTCGCTCAACCAACTGAGCCACCCAGGCGCCCAAATAAATAAAATCTTAAAAAAAAACAACAGGTTGCAATATGGATAAACCTCAAAAGCATTATGTTAAGTGAAAGAAGGCAGACACGAAAGACTACATATTGTCTGATTTCATTTATATGAAATATCTGGCATAAGTAAAGCTACAGAAACAGAATGCAGATTAGTGGTTGCCAAAGGCTGGAGGGAAGAACAGGGAGTGGCCGCTTCACGGTCTAGAAGTTCTCCTTCCTTCCGGGGTGATGGAGATGTCCTGGAACTGAGGAGAGGTGCTGGTTGCATCACATGCCCAATGTCCACCGAAGGGTACCCTTTAAAATGGTTACTTTTAGGGCGCCTGGGTGGCTCAGTCGTTAAGCGTCTGCCTTCGGCTCGGGTCATGATCCCGGGGTCCTGGGATTGAGCCCCGCATCGCATCGGGCTCCCTGCTCATCGGGAAGCCTGCTTCTCCCTCTCCCACTCCCCCTGCTTGTGTTCCTGCTCTCGCTGTCTCTCTCTCTGTCAAATAAATAAATAAAATCTTTAAAAAAATAAAATAAAATAAAATGGTTACTTTTATGTTAAGTGAATTTCATTGCAATTTTTAAAAATTTTTTAAAGGTTTTATTTATTTGCGGGGGAGAGAGCAAGTACAAGCAGGGGGAGAGGGGCAGAGGCGGAGTGAGAGGGAGAAGCAGACTCCCTGCTGAGCAAGGAGGTGGATGCAGGGCTCGATCCCAGGACCCCAGGATCATGACCTGAGCCGAAAGCAGACGTTTAACGGACAGAACCACCCAGGCGCCCCGCCCCTTCATCTTTAAAATTACACATGGACTCTGTCGTAGTCTGTTTGGGCTGCTATGACAGAACACCACGGTCTGGGTGACTTACACACGGACATTTCTCTCTCACATTCTGGAGGCTGGGAAGTTCCTGGTCAAGGGGCCAGCAGGTTCGTTCCCAGCGAGGTCTCTTTCCCTGGTTTGCCGATGGCCACCTTCTCACTGTGTCCTCACATGGTGGAGAGACCGTGAGCTCCGTTGTCCTGCTCTTGTAAGGATGCTAGTCCCATCGTGGGGGCCCCACTGTCCTATGTCCTCTAAACCCAGTTACCTCCCAGAGGCCCCACCTGCAAATACCATTTGCAGGGATAGTTAGAGCTTCAACATACGGATTTGTGGGGGACCCAAATTCAGCCCATGACAGACTCTTTGTCCAGTTCTCTTCCGTGTGGCACTGCGTGGCATTCCTGATTACACCCTCGATCCCCACAGAACCCATCCTCACCACAGTCAAGCTCCCGACATGGCCCAAATCCCTGACGTCTTTCTGCTCGCTTGCTTGCCCTTCCTTCCCTTTCACGTCTCCCTCACGTATGCTGCGTGAACATTTGAAAAGAAACCCACATGGGCATTTGCCTACTGTAGCATCTCCAACCCACCTTAACTCTCAACAAACTCTCAACTTTTGTGTCCCTTTATTTCAGATTTGGTGACTCAACATAAAATGAAAAACTCAACCCCTCAGCAGGACATTCTTGCCCAAAAGACACCTGATGAAGCAAACAGAGTGTGTGCCGTGAGCCACAGTTCCCAGCCCTCCCCGCTGGGGGAAGACTGGAAAAAATGCCACAAAACAGACGAGCCACCCAAGCAAAGGGAGCAGAATTTGAAGCGAGTTGCCGCTGTGCACGAGAAGGACGAGTCTCCGGTTATAATCTGTGAGTATCACGAAATGAGGGACAACTCTGTACCTAGCTCATGGAGAGATTCCACAAGAAACTATATCCCAAAATGTGGCTCAAGTACTGTGAAACAAAAGCCTGTCCTAACCAGTAATCAAAAGATCTATAGAAACAACAAAAATGATAGAGTCTTGCGGCAGAGCACCGAGCTGACCCCATTTGTAGGAAGTCAGGCAGAGCCAGAGTCTAAACTATGGACTGACCATCAGAACAATGTGCTTCATACACGTAATAATATCTGCATGGGGGTGGACGTTCACGAATGGGATCCAGTTGGAAAAGCCTTTGGTGAAGACATTTCCCTTAGGGTATACAAGCCTCCCATTAAAGGGAAGACTTACGAGTCTAATCCGTGTGACATCACCTTCCGAAATAGCTCGACCCATGATGTGCACAGGCAATCCTATACGGCAGAGGCAAATCATGAGAAGAATCAAGGTGAGAAAACCTTAGCCCACATGGCAAATTCTGACTCACACAGGAAGACGAAGACTAGAGGGGGAAAATATAAATGTCAAGACTGTAGGAAAAGTTACGTGTATCTGTCATTCCTTATGAGACATATGGAAATTCACACCGGAGAGAAACCCTATGAATGCAAGACCTGTGGGAAAGCCTTTAGATATTCCTTACACCTTAATAAACATTTAAAAAAGCACATTATGAAGAAGCCCTATAAATGTGAGGAATGTGGGAAAGACTTCACCAAGTCTTCCAGATTTAAAAATCATCTAAAAACTCACAGCTGAGGGATGCCTGGCCAGCTCAGTTGGAAGAGCGTGCAACTCTTGATCTCAGGGTTGAGGCTGAGTCCCACGTCGGGTGTAGAGATTGCTTAAATAAATAAAACAATCTTAAAAATAAATAAATAAATAAAAATTCACAGTTGAGAGAGGTCCTGTGAATGAAAGCAATGTGAGAAAAGTTTCATTAATTTTCTCAAAATACCAAGCACATAACGACGTACTAGAAAGGAACTCAAGTCTTCCCTGAAGGATAGAAATGTGAGAATTCACACATTTACATATTCACATCTTGTGAAAGTAAGGTCTGTGGAAAGCTTTTCATCTTTCAGCTTTACGATTTTTTATTTTTTATTTATTACTAATTTTTTTAAGTAGGCTCCATGCTCAGCATGGAGCCCATCATGGGACTTGAACTCACAACCCTGAGATCAAGACCTGAGCTGAGATCAAGAGTCCCACGCTTGACGGACTGAGCCATCCAGGAATCCCCTTCTTTCGTCTTCAGTAGACATTTATTCTCACATTGGAGAGAAACCCCATGAATCTAAGGAATATGGAAAAGCCTTCAATGTTGTCTCAGTGGAATCCCTGTCAGAACTCACACTGCGGAGACTCCTCATGGGAGTAAGGAATGTGGGAAAGACCTCTTTAAACACTCAGCCCTTAAGTTACACAAGAGACCACGTGCTGGAGAGATACTGTGATTGTAATAGAAGAAAGCCTTCCATAAGATG